TTTTTTTTTTTTTCTGGTAATGAGTTTATTTAAACTTTTTACCGCGTAGCAACAAGACTCCCAACGCGCTCGGGCCGTTTTGTTTATTGTGGATCGAACTGTCGATATGTATGTTCCAGTGCTTCACGAATTTACATATCAAGCAATGGCCAACGATCTATTGCCGATTGAAGATGGGAACAAATACACATACAACTACGCGGGTGATGATGGAGAGCAAGCAACAAAAGAAGCTATTTTGGATGAAGCTGATAGTATATGGGTTGATATAAGACATAAACATATGAAGGATTGCATAGATCAACTTATGAAAGATTTTAATGAATTTTTGGTCCAAAATACGGGCTTCACTGATAAGTAGATATCTTGTTTATTTGGAAATGAAGGGTTGATCTTATGGCTACTTTCGAATGTTGCAGTTATTGATTGTTGATTATTGTAATTATTATATTTAGAGAAAAGGCGGCTAACTTGAACGATATGAAGAAGATGTTGGCGACTTTGCCGCAATTTCAGAATATGAAGGAAAAGGTGGTGTATATGTTTCATTATCAACGTAATATTGGGAATTGCCGATATAACTAACTATAGGTGTATTGTAATCTGTAGTTTTCTGCCCATTTGAACATCGCGCAGGGATGTATGGGGATGTTTGAGAGGGAGAGACTTGCAGAGATAGCTACCATAGAACAGGTATTTGTGATTTATTATTCTTTTTATATATTTTTTCGTATTTAAAATGCTTGCTCATTGCATATTTATTGTTTACTTGTTCGCTATGAATAGAATTGCGCTACGGGGTATACACCGGACTCACAGCATCCCAAAACACTTGTTGAAGATATGGTGCCTATGTTGGATAATCCGGTAGTTAGGTAAGTCATTTGTCACCAGAACTTCCATTGTTGATCAATACTTGTTTTTTTGTTTTTTTTTTTTGAAAATAATAATAATAATAAACCACAGAATGCAGCTAATGTATTTGAAATAAATTTTCAGCTCAATTACTAAAGTTAGGATGCTCATGTTATATATAATGTATAAAAATGGAATTCTAGAAGAAGATCGACGCAAATTGTTGGCACACGCGCGAATCTCGTTGCAAGAAAATGATGCAATCAACAATTTAGGGTTTTTCGGTGTTAAATTAATTAAGGTTGATTTGCTAAAATACTTTTTTTTTTTACTCTCGTTTTAATCGTTATGTGTTAATCTTGCTTCTTAAAAAATTCATCTTTAAGTCTGCCGGTGCGAAGAAACAAAAAAAATATCGACAGAAACCAGGAGACGATATTAAGTATGAGATTTCTAGATACGTCCCCAGGCTAAAACTTGTGGTGGAGGTAATCTATTTTATCTTTGTCTCATTATACAATTTCCTCCTGTCTTCACAATTCGACTCGTTATTTTTAGAGTCACATCAGTAAAACGATAGACCATACCCATTATCCATATACAAAAGATCCAACCGGTGATCCAGATGGTTCCAAATCCACCCAACAGGGACCAGTATCTTTAAGAAGGTAATGAATATATCGGATTATTAGGTTCAATTATGTACAATCTACTTAGGAATAATTTATATGCTCGCATCTAATGTTTTATGTGCAGCGCCCGAGGTTGGGTTAGGAAAAATCAGACGGTAAGTTTTACGTCGATATTTTCATTTTTCACGAAGAAGAAAAATTGAAGTGAATTGATTCGTACATTCTCAGCGCCCTCGTATGATAGTATTTGTCGCTGGTGGTGTAACCTATTCGGAACTCCGTTCCGCCTATGAAATCTCAGAAAAACATAATACCGATATAATCATTGGTAAGAAAAATTGTTTGTTATTTATTATTTCGTAATCACCCCTAATACGCGTATCTTTTTTTTTGTCAGGCTCAACGCACTTAATAACACCTCAGAAGTTTATTGAAGATCTGTCACTACTTTTAAAGCCACCAACTATGGAACAAAAACCGGCTTTGCCCGCTCGTCCGGAGGTGCAAAGTAATTCAAAGTCCCCCAAGCCACCTACATCATCATCATCAGGGGGATACGTGCCACAAATGCAGGGTGGATATTCTCAGCAAGCCGGATATAATCAACAAGGTGGTGATTATGCGCAGTATTCTAGGCAAAACGCTGGCTATCCGCAAAGCATGCCGGCGAGTTCTCAACAGTATATCAATGTTCCAAGACCATCATCCAGCAACACCACACAATCCGAGAAAACGAAATCTAAAAGTAGCATTTTCAAATTTTAGTTTTAGATCAAACTAGAAGATCAATCGATTTAATCTTCAAATAGAAGAACGTTTTAATTATTTATTATCTTCATGCCGTTGAAGATTTATACTATAAAGTATTATTATAATTAATCTTTGTATTATTGAGTTATGATATTAATTAAAGGCCACAGGAAATTATCTTTATAAAAAAATTTATTACGAAATTCTCTATCTATCTACTCCTTTTTTTTTTTTCGTAGAATACAATCGAATTAGATTAAATATATTATATAGATTAGGATGTTTTTCAAAGTTTAAAATCCATGTAAGTAAAATAAGTGTAAACGCAAACTAGGCTCAAGGCGGAGGGTACCAATCGAAGCTGTATGACAAAATAAACCCAGAGGGTGGCAAGAGAAGGGCATCGACGCATCACACCGTAATAATTGGCTCTGTTAATAACCCATAATAAATGACATCCACAAGCGATCGAACCGAAGAACATTAAAAGTTGCAGCCAATTTTTGCCGACATTTTTGTTCGTAAAGTAAACAAAGATCCAAAGGACTAGGTAGAAAGTGCGTGATACAAATGATCAAGTAACAATTGTTTTTGAATGAGACTCGTTAGCACGAACTATCACGAATTATGTTTAATCTCAAAAACCGACTTGACGACTTACTCGGGGCAACCTTAACAACTCTCGTGATGAGCGAAAGGATCAGGATCTCCTGGTTGTATTGCCTATGTACCAAAATATCCATCACACTATAGACAGCACAAAGAGGTATTGTATATAAAAAAGCTTGAAAAGTGAAGCCATATGCAAATGGATCGTCTTCCCATTTCACCTCCCGTTCACTGAACCCTTTTTTGGATTCTTTGAGGTCCTTGAGTAATCCTGTTGATTTTATTAATCTTATTTTCTCTTCATCGGGAATGTCGTCAACGACCTCGGGCGATGAGGTGGGGTTATTACGTTTGCGATTACCCATTTGAAATACGATGGAGCGATCATAATTAATTCGATCATTATATATACTGTATGTACTGTACGGTACAGTACGTGTCAGAAACTTGCGATATCAATTATCACTAAAAATAGTCAACCAATTGGTAAATTTTGCTAATATTAAAAAGGGGTCTGGTAATAATGCGCACACATATATTTCAAATGAAATGCAGCTAGCATAAAAATTATAATAATACTGTAGTATTCACTGCGCGGCGAATTTTTGGTGGATTCGGAACTTTAAATTCGTCATACAAAAATACTTTAGTTGTGCCGACACTCCCAAGAAATGTCGCTTGCTTCACCGGACGTCGATATAGAGGATTCAAGTGAATCCACGAATGCCGCGTCTGCATTTTCCGAAAAAGCACCCAACACAAGTGTCTCGTCCTCAGGGGCTCGTGCGATTGATGTAATCAATATTTTTGATTTTGATGGTACGCTTTTTGCATCTCCACATCCAAATCCAAAACTGTGGAAAAGTTCGTTCATTGGATTGTTGAAGAACAACAAACTTTATAAAGGATGGTATCAGAGCAAGAGGTCATTGGACTTTGGAGAGGAAGCAAGGAGCCAAGCGTGGAATAGTTGGTGGAACGAGAAGGTGGTGGATCTTGTGCGCAAGTCGATGGAGCGTTCAACTTCGTTGACAGTTCTGCTTACTGGACGACAGTATTCTGAATTTCACGAAATCATTACTGATATGACATCAAAGAAGGGACTGGTTTTCGATATAATGGGTTTCAAACCGGATCAGAATGTTCTCCACTGGAATTTGTATTATAATTCTGCGATCATTAAAAAGGTGGGGAGGGAGAAGTACGAAAGGCTTTCGTCGACAAACACGATCATAAAGAAACCAGTAACGACCAAGAATTTCAAGATTAGTTTCATTGAAGATTTGATATCTCATCATCCTTCAAGCAAATCAATTTTCATGTGGGATGATCGAGAGCATCATGTTCAAGCATTTCGATCTTTGCTTAATGACTTGAGAGGGCAAGGAAAAATTCGGAAAGGCGGGGTGGATCACGTAACCCTTAAAATGCGCTATTTTGATAGAGTTAAAGAACGCGAGATTGTCACGGATATCATCGAGAGTCATAATAAAAATTGGGCATGCGGTACACTTTCAAATTACTATCTACCCCAAATTGAGCTCATTCGAGAAGTCGAATACGTGGGAATCTATTTTGACTACCAGGCGATACGGTTTTTGCGTCGACACTTCTCACCCCCAAATCGATATTTTCATAATCGACGCGGACGTCAAATGAATCATCGATGGAATTTCGACGAGCCTTACTTATTCGTTCGGAGGCGACCAATTTCTCAAGAAATCCTGGGATGTTGCTCTTCCAATAGAAAACACTATGTCGTCATGAAAGTGGTCGCGAAAGGAATGTTCAGAAACTGTGTGTATTGTCTGAAAGTGGTGAACCAGGATTCGAATGATTCAGGCAAGAGCGGGATCCCTCACAATTCTATTTTTAATCATTTTAATACTACTTTCATTATGCTCGCATTTGATCAGAGTACCGTTGATGGATTCCCTGATAGGCCGGAAGACATTGAACCATCTCGTTGGATCCCAATATCTGATGATCAACAGGTTGTGGTACGCGGATTCATCGGCAAAAGTTTCCTTACAAATTATCGGGAGGTGGACGCGTCTGCTCAAGGCAGCAGCTCCGAGGACGCATGATAAACTCCTCTAACCTGATTTGTGAATGAAATCTGTCAACCGTTTGGTGTTAAGCCCTTGTGAAGGCTTTACTTAAAAGAGTTTAGAGGGAACCGGGAATCTGCATTCTTACAAGGTTGCAAATTCTTTTTGTATTAATGCATCCAATCTTTGTAAAATAACTGCTGTATAGTAATTAATGTTTTATTACTGTTGTAATATTATACAATATACGATCTTTATAACAACTTGGTTTTATATTCTGGAAATGACTATAGTTCCATCTATACGAAACTACAATTCAGAAAAGTTTCACTGACCGTGCTTGTAAATCTATGATTAATGTATCATACTATATTGAAAAATTAATTTAATCTCAGTTTGTTTTTTTGTTACATACATATTAGTTACAAGCATTATATCATAGAATCTATAATAGTTATCGGGAGAATGGAAAACATCAGTCGATGATCCTGCATTCTATTGGCGTCAGCCGTGGTTACTCGTGTCACTTTGTGACACACCGCGTGCTAAATAGACTTTATGTACCAACATTATTTAAAGCACCATCGATTCATAAACCGAGCTTTCAACATTCTAATGCTTCAGTAGTAGAAACTATCTTTACAATTCTTCTATTGGCTTACATATTTAAATAGCGTGTTTAGCTCTTGAGTATTAGAATAATGGATGCATCGGCACCAGGCACACCCTCTGCCCCCATAATTGACTCGAGCAACACAAACGAAATTTACAATAACGCGAAGACCCCACCACCTTCTAACGTTCCAATCGAGTCTCCATCCTTACAGGATACACCTTCCACTCCAAGACCTTCAACACCCGACTCGGTGTCCGTCCCAAGACCGAATCTCGGTCCAATATACTCCGCAGTATATTCCGGAGTACCAGTTTACGAGTTTCTCGTTCGCGACGTTGCTGTTATGCGTCGGAGGCCGGATTCGTATCTGAACGCCACGCAAATTTTGAAAGTTGCGGGTCTTGAAAAGGGGAAACGCACAAAAATCATTGAGAAGGAAGTTCTAACGGGGGAACACGAAAAGGTTCAAGGTGGGTATGGAAAGTATCAGGGTACTTGGTAAGTTCCGACTCCGTTCAAAGTAATTTGATAATTGGTGCCGAATTTTTTGATTTCTTTGACTTTGTCATTTCGATTCGATGAATTGAATACTTTTGACACGTTTAAAAACGCTGCTTTTGTGATATCCATCGTTTACTAAAGATAATTTTGAAAATCATTTGTTTTAGGGTTCCCTATGAAAGAGGCAAAGAACTGGCAGAACAATACGGTGTCCTTGAGATACTGCGTCCTCTATTGGAGTATAAACCACCTAAACACGATATACCCTATTCTTCTTCTCCCTACACGCCGACAAAAGAGCAGGCAATGGCCGCTATGCGCCGACAGGCCGCCAGAGCTACCAGTAATGTTACCCAATCCACAGCACAAACCTCTGCTCTCCCATCTGCTCAACAGCATGCAGTTACATACGAAAACGAGATGGAGAATACCATGGTCACACCGTCGGAGGTATCTGAACCGCTGCTCACTGCCGCGGAAATGGATGAGGGAGAGAGACATCGGAATGTTTTGATGGCAATATTCCTTAACGAAGATCCGAATCAAATACCGGATCTTCTTTCAAATCCCTCCTCCCCAGACGACATTGATTATGATGTCGTTATTGACAACCATGGTCACACTGCATTACATTGGGCGGCCGCTCTCGCCCGTCTTCAGGTAATGGAATTATTGCTGGAACGGGGAGCGAACGTGAAACAATTAAACTACGAAGGTGAATCTGCCTTAGTACGCGCAGTTCTCGTAACTAATAATTACGAAGCACAAAATTTCCCAGCTGTCCTAGACCTTCTCCGTGAAACCATCCCGTTGACTGATAAAGATAATCGAACAGTCTTTCATCACATTTCTATGACTTCAGGTACAAAAGGTCATTCCGCAGCAGCGAAATATTACATGGATTGCATGCAGCAGTGGGTCGCACAGAATGTTGACGGAAATATCGCCGCGATCTTAAACATTCAAGACAAAAATGGTGACACGGCCTTGAATATTGCCGC